TTGGCTAATGTCCGCTGTTGGCACTAAGCAGACTTGTAAAACACCTTCACTGTCCTCAGTCTTTTTATGGCTTGCCTACTGAAGTAAGCAGCATCTGTTCTCCCACAGAACACTCCAAACAGCAGTACGGACATATTTCTGTAGAAGAGGTGTTTTAAGCAGTAGTTTTCTGATTTACACCTTTAACAAATGGATGTGTAGGACTGAAGTTCCCAAATCAATCATCTGTGTAATCTGCAAAGTATGTTGTAGCGTATTAGCAAATACGGAGAGGGTGCACAACTAATTTTTGTCACAGATATCTTTTATTACATATATAGCACATATATGAATTTAAAAATGCCTCTTATCTATTTGAAACTACTGTCAGTGCCAGACCCCTAGCTGTTGAGAGAATTGCTGCTGATAGTTTGTTATTTTATTTTCTATCAGTTATAGCCTTTAAATTTATAAGAAACACAAAAGGGTTATACCAAGCACAACAGTTTATATTAGCATCAAGCGTAAAGACTTGGATTTTTAGTAATGTCTAATTCTTGCAAAAAATATTAAAGTTTGCAGTTGTATTTTTCAGTTAGAAGTGTTTTATCTTTTCCAAGATTCTTTGTGCAAATTAAATGTGTTTTTCTTCTAAAAGGTGTGCCTGCTGCTTCTTTGGTAACCCCTGCTGATGTCATCAAGACAAGACTGCAAGTGGCAGCTCGCGCTGGTCAGACAACATACAGTGGAGTTATGGACTGCTTTGCAAAGATTCTAAGGGAAGAAGGCCCCTCAGCTTTTTGGAAGGGAGCTGGAGGTAAGAAATGCACTCTGAGTATTAGACAGATCTGCAAATTAACACTTGCTTTGTTAAGGACTCAGAACAGTATTTGCAAGGTCCGATTCTGAAAAACACATCTTGTTAAAAATGTTTAACTTCTTTCCTGAGAAATTATTTTCTTTGTTTGACACTATGTATTTGTAATATTTAACAGCTCGTGTGTTCAGATCTTCACCCCAGTTTGGTGTTACTTTGGTCACTTATGAACTTCTGCAGCGGTGGTTTTATGTCGATTTTGGAGGCCTGTAAGTAAAATACTTACTTTTTAGCTTGCTCAAAAAACTTGCCAAGTTAAAAAGAAAACCTTACTTTTTTTTTTTTTCCATGTATGGGACCACTTAAACTTGGTGACTTTGAGCACCTGTACTTAAAATTGCAGTAGGCAAAAAATCCCCCCCATCCTTATATAATTGAGAGAAAGTTGCAGGCCACTTCCAACCAGATGAGGAGGTAAAGAGCCATTTCGTATTTATTTTAATACACTACATAAAATTTGTATTTTCATTGTAGCAAGATCTCTTGTCCCTTTTCCCCACGGCACTAGAAGTTTAAAAGAATTTACAGAGCTCTCATTAAAAAATGTAACCTCAGTTTTCGCCTTGATTTCCTAATGAGTCATGGTCTGAACTCTACTTGACCATAGACGTGAATTAATTAAGATCAGCCTTACCAGTGTTCCATAGTCGGATAAAAGCTTCAAGTATTTAGTCTAGATTTCCTAAAAGTTATTCAGGTTTAAGAAAACACTTTAAATAAAGGAATGGCTTTTTTTGTTTTTCTTTCTTCAAACAGCAAACCTTCTGGATCGGAATCTACCCCAAAAACTCGAATTTCAGATCTTCCTCCTGCCAACCCTGAGCACATAGGTGGATACAGACTTGCTACAGCTACATTTGCTGGTATAGAAAATAAATTTGGCTTATATCTTCCAAAGTTTCGATCTCCCACCGTCACCTCAGCTCAAGCAAAAAGCAGCAGCTGAATCCTGAAAAGTTGTTTCAAACTAACCAAGTGATGCAGTGGAAAAAGTTCACAAGAGTAGTACTGTATTTTTTCCGGTCGGCTGCATGTTGTTCTAGCTGAACTGAGCTTGCAAATCTAATTACTCCGTTATAATATTAATATATACCTGCATTTATTTGTTTATTTGCACACAAGGAACTGATGGAAGCTGTGGTTCTATGCCTTCTTCTAACCAGTGGCATGAATCTGTAGCCTAGACTTTGCCTTGCACAGCTTGCATTTAATGTTACTGTACATATTGTACATCTTTGTACAGAGACATCATGGCATCTCTACACGTACATTTATATAATGGGTAGTGCAGTTCAAAATAGTTTGAAATGTACAGAATGTTTTGAAGGCATTTTGTTAACAATCGTGACAATAAAATATTTAAAAACATGGAAGTCTGTTCAGTTCTTTGTGTTTACAGAAAAAGGGTCCAGTGATTTCCACCCACAGATTACAGACCACAGACTGAAATTTAATTATTAGACACACCCATTTAATGAATGTACAGTACAGAGCCTCTGAAGGAATTCATTTCACTGTTAGTTACAGCAAAGGAATTAAAATAGCAACGTGCTGGCTTTTAAAGTGTAAGAGAACAAAGTAATTAGATAAGCACATGCAGTATTTTCTTTTGCAGCACTACTTTGTAACAAGGAATTCCCTCGAAATACACGGTAATACTAAATGTGTAATACATCTTACCTCTCTAGTTGCATATTTAAAGCACAATGAGATACTTGCCAGTTATTAGCAGACTCCAGAATTTTTACAGGATTTATGACTCAGAGTGCTTTTTTCCAGAATGGAAAACTTTTTATAAAAAAAATTTGAAGGCATTATCTTTATTTCTAGATTGTTTTACCATTGAAATACTAGGTTATTGGGCGGGGGGAGGGGGGCAGGGACTTTTATATTGGTTTTATATGATTGTTTAGAATTCCAGTTGAGTGGAATGCTAAGGAAAAGGAGAGGAGAAGAGAAAAGCTTTTCCTATTTCTGGTTTAATGTTTGCCAAAAGTTTATCTGGTGTAATTTTTAAATGCAAAGTGTCAGAGGCAATAAGGGAGCTTAGATTTCTACAGTCCTAGAGCAGTTCTACTATCCATACTGCCAGAGAAGAGAGGGGTGGGTTTCCAGCCTTGCTCACTGAAGTATGACAAACTCCAATCTATAGTGTCACACGCTTCTTTCGGGGTTAAACATCCCAGGGGTATAAACTGATTACAGGTTCTGTTATTTCTCGCTAAGGTTGCAGCAGGCCAATATGATGAGTTGTAGTCAGCTTATAAAGAAGTAGTTTCTTAAAAACTGAATACTACAAACACAGACAAGCTCTGCTTCAGTTCTAGCCTCTAAGCAAGATGCAAAATCTTTTGGTGCTGAATACTATTTAGTGAGCTAGAGGTTACAACACACTGAACTTGGGAGTTTGATCACTATTCTGCAACATGCATATCTATATCCCCATTAGAAGGCTTCCTGTCTTTTACTAGGGGTTTTTGTGTTTGTTTGGGTTTGTTTTTTTCCTCCCCCGTTTAAGGAACTACCTGTTCTGTGCAGTTCTCTAGAGGCAGGCTTCCCAGGAACTCTCTCCCATCTCTGTGTATTTTGTTCTGCGCTTTTCTAACACATACAAAAATGAAAGGTACCCACTGGCGTTTAATCTTAGTCACAGCTTGTTGTTGACGGACTTGATCAAGGCCTTAGGAGACTTCACAATGCAAGACAGCATCTGTATTTCTTACAGCTCCCAAACTGGACAGTGTGGCTCTCGGGATGATCATTTACAGTCTCTAGCATCACTGTTGGTCTCTTAATGTTGCAGATATGGGTTTTACATTTTTTTTAACCTATATTCAGCTATTTTGTGAGGAAGGAACACTATGAATACAGAATAGTTTTGTTGAAAATTATTAAAAGGTTGAAATGATGTAAAACTAATGCCATCTGATCTGTATGTTTATGCCACAATCCCTACTGAAAGGAAGCCTTATCTACTGGATTTCTGAAAATATAAGTCTGAAGGAAATGTATTATTAAAAGAGAAGTAACAATCTCAGTAAAAAAAAAGAAAACCCAAAACAAACCCCCCAAAAGCCATCAAGACAACAGAACATTCTGCTTGTTAAGAATTTGTGTGCCTGCAGGGTAAAAATCATCACAGGATATGCCTGTTCTTCATATAGTTCGCATGTTTCTTAACTGAACAGATACCTGCTGTCGTGAGGTTGAGGAAAACATACAAGGCAAATGTCAAACTGAACAGCATGACTTTGCATTGAAAAGAGGGGGAGACTTTTGACAAGCCAACACCAGTGGAAGCCTAAATACATTTCACTTCCAAACCCTGAAAAAGAGAACCTCCTGAAGACAGAACTACTGTTACTGGTGCCTGTGTCTCTATGAGCTGCTCATAACAGAACTGAGACAAGGAGAAACAAAAAACCCCAAACCTTAAAACACAAACAATGAAGAAACAGTAAGAATATTTCTAGACATAAAGCTGCTTAAGGAATATAAACCTATTTCCTACCTTTAAGCATATAAAACAGCTCTTCTGGCAAAATTATAATCTTGCAGCAGATTAAGAATACCAGAAACAGAGTCCTAAATTAAAGGCATCAACACTGGTTTGGTGCCTAATTAGTACAAGTCAGAATATTTACTTAAAACAAAAAACCAAACAAAACCCCCAACCTAAAACAAACAAAAAACCCCACCAAACAAAACCAAAACCCAAACACCTCAACCCACTCCTCCCCCACAAACCCAGTCTTGATGGGGAAACTGATATTTATTTATTAACGTCCTAAGAAAGATGTACTAAAAAAATTAACAGAAATTCCAACCATTCTGTTTCAAGCCATTGAAAGGTTTTGTTTCAGTAAAAATGTTACAAAGCAATGAAAAAAAAAAATCTTTCTTAATACAAAAAAATAAGTAGCAACTCTGTAGTTAAGAGAATGCAAATCATCATGTTACAGAAATTAAGTCAAAATTAGTTCCTTATCCTTTGGAAAATAAAAATTTGCCATGGCAGGAAGTGGAGGTTGGGGGTAGAAAACAATTCTTGATGTGTGTAGTAAAAGGAAAGCAGCAGGTCCCAGGAACTTTCTACTCTCAAACTACTGAAAGGACAGAGATTAGTGTCAGGGCAGCTGACGAGTGCTCATACAATATTTATTTATGAATCAGTCTCACCTTTTAATGTACCAATTCAAACAAAAGAACTTGGCATTAAATATGTATTTCATTAATTCAGGTCCAATTATCAAGTAAGTTTGTAACTACAGACAAATGTTTATTCACATATATTACCCACTACCAGAGCCCGAGGCTTATCTATGTATAAACAATGAGACTTACTTGGAACATACGCATGCATATCCATGAGTAATTTGCAGAGTTCAGATTAGAGAATGCTTCAGAGATTTAGTACCTAATGAAGGTTAGTCTGTGTAATATAGAAAGCTTAGCATAGAAACAGAACTTTTACTTTTCAGAAATAGATATACTGTTACAAAGTGGAAATTTCAGAAGCCCAATAGCAAATTTACACCAGGTTAGTGTTTCTGCAAAAGAAGTTCCTTGCAAAGTCAAAGTTAACTGTATTAAAAGTTACACAAATCCAAGAAGGTGCTCGTAATTTATATATAAAAAAAATGACAATGCAGGATCTGATTTTCACTGACCTTAATACATTTTCAAAGTCCATAGCTGAATGCATATATTCCTCCCTTAAGCTATTATTTGAACTGACACATGCTTATTACACTTTTATGATTTGCATAAAATCATTCGTATGTCTACCTCTGCTGCCTGTTTTTAAATATCTACGCTGGTATGCGGGTTGCAGCTTCCTCCTCTGCATCAGCTCTGTTAGCATTTATTTCTGCCAGCGTTCGACCGAATCGAGTCCACTCATCACTGCGAGGAACGGCAATTTGCTGTTGACAAAGAGAACGTTACTTAAACCTACTGATAAATAAAAACTGAGCTCATTTTGAACAGCAGTGCGCTCAAATAATGTTCAGAAAAGGTTCCGATAGAAAAGATACCTTTATTTAGAGTAACTTTTAAAATAGTCTGAACTTCAAAAGCTCTAACTAATAAAAGCAGCAGAATCCTGTATTTAAGTTTGTAATACTATTACAAGCTTGCACGATACATCTCCATCTGAGAGGCTGCCTCCAAGGGGCAATACTAATGCCATGTCCTCATCCAACCAAGAGTTACATACTACTGCAGTACACGTGCTTGCAATAGCACCAGCTTGCCTGTAGGAACAAGTCAAGACTGCTTCACTGCAAATTTTTTTGTTCAGTACTTCTCAAGCTATGGTCAGAATTCACATGTGCCACAGTTACAAAGAAAGTAAAATCTCTATAAAGAAAACCATTAATTCTTTCATCTTACTTCACCAGCCTTACAATAATGTTTTTACTTTTTGACTGGTTGCCAGATGTTATGCTAAAAAGTTATGCTAGAGTACCCAAAATAGACACAAAAAGGAAACATTAATTTGAAAATAAAATTCAAACCTTATTCCTCTAATCACAAGGGAAAAAGTTAAACACAATTTTCTAAATAAAACTAAAAGAAACTTGAGTGTTTTGTAATGTACCTTGCACAACAGATGGTCTACATACCTCTCCCACGTCATATATAACTATTTGTCCCTCTGAATCACCCACAGCAATCTCTCTCCCGGAATGTGTCCACCTCACACGGTTCAGAGCAGGATTGCCCTCCACAGTAATGCTTGCAGTTGGCACCTGTATCCATTTAAAGCACATTGCTAAAAATGCAAGAGCATTCCATAAACTATCGATTACAGAACACACCTAGTCCCTCCCTCAGTGCTGTGTCAAAAGAAGTGCCCAACATTGCAACCGAGGCAGAGCATGTGGACTCCAAGACTCTGGGTAGCCTTAAGCTATCAGCAGCGATATGACCAGAACAACACACCTGCCCCTTGGCCAAAGCATGAAAATCCCCTTATCAAAAAGCACATCAGCAGTCAGACAGCAAGGAGGAGCCCTGGGATCTCAAGAAAGATCATGACAGAGGACAGGGATGAAATCAGCTGCTTTGGGAGGTCAAATCCTGTCTGAAGGCTAGAAATGTGCAATTCCAATCTGAAGCCATAGGCTAGCATATGGCCCTACAGACCTGCTCTTTCTTCCATATGCAGTTCTAAGAATGTGAAATTTAAGTACTGCCTCCCTATCAAGTTTTTCCTCTCACCTATCCAACAAGTCTAAGTCTCGGAAAAGATTTCTATAATCAAGTTTATAACTCATACCAGAAAACCCAAACATTCAGTTTTCCAAGTTTAGAAACAAATTACAGTTTCACTGCAGAATTACTATGGCAATAGGAACAACAGCGGCGTGTGGGCAACAGGTTTGTTCGTACTGTTAAGCCATAGGCTGCCAGGGCCGTACTGGGGGAGGCCTATAATCACGTTCACAACACGGATCAGTGTTACACCAACAAACGTTCTGCACCTTTGTTATGGGTACAACAAGTCAATTACCGCCATTATTCATTATGAGGAGTAATTTAATTTACAACCCCGTAATTGAAGAATAATATCTACTACACAGAAACTATTAGAACTACAGAATATTCAAGAATAACAAGAAACCAAACCAAAACACTATGGTAAACTCTTGACTCTTTTTTTTTTTTTTAAGTGTACAAACACTATTCTGGTTACATCTGACTATTAACCTGACTGCCTCACCTCAGTATCATTGTTGAGATTCCACAGGTCAAGCCTGCCCATCCCATCCACACAGGCAAACAAGGCAGGGTGAGTTGGAGACCACATCACATCATAAACATAATCTGAGTTGTCTTCAAAGGAGTAGAGAGGTTTATTATTCTGAAAAAAGCAAAAATAACAATGTACTATCCAAACTCTGTACTTCAGAATTTGAAAGCTAACAGGTAAGGCAAAATACAGAACTTTGTAACAGCATTATCAGCAATACCTTAAAAGGGATTCACATTTTTGCATACTTTAAAAAAAATGCCTCTGTGTAACACAGCCAAAATTTAATGCTATTACTAAAGGCATGCTTTCCAAAGCATAAAACAGATCAGTAGCAAGCCAATTTTGTAAGAGATTGTAAATTTAATATATTAAGAATCTTGTAAGTCAAATCAATGACAACCCAGTGACAGCACTTCAAACTGTTTCTGGGAGATTTTAACTGCTTCTTCTGCTTCGCATTCCTCAGGGCATCAAAACTAATGGAGAAAGAGGTAATTCTGGCAATGGGAATGATACATACATCAATTGTGAGTTCATGGAGTTTAACTGACACCAGTTTTGATGCTGTCCCTCAGCCCTCTACAAAACTGTAGCAAAACATTTGCCTTAAACATAATATGAAGTAACTGATTTTACAACATGATTTATATTTGATTAAATTGTAATCATTGTTGATAACAAAGGGCAAAAGAATGAAAAGAATGGATCAGAAATACACAAATGATGTACAATCTGAAAGCAAAGCTTTATGTTGCTAACTATAATTTTGTTATCAGCTGTCTCCTCTTTGTGGGACTGCTGCTAGGAACCTAGATTGCTTCACCCGATTTGACTTCTGTTTACTGCAGTTTCTGAAGTAGCTTACATTACAGCACCACCTTGTGTCAAGGACTATGAAGAAAACCACTGAACTATCTATTTAAGTTACCTTAGTTGTCCAAAGCTTTACTGTCCAGTCAAAAGAAGAGGTGACAAAAAGGTGTGAGAAGTCTACAGGTCCAACTGCTGCATGGCAGTTGATACCTGTGATTGGTCCCTGGTGTCCTTCAAACATCTCGCTGATTCCTGCTTTGCTGTTTAGAATACATAACCAAGGTTAATTTATGTGGAAACTGTACATCTGCAGACAAGAGAGAGCACTGAAATGCAATTTAAATATAGCCACAAGATTTTACTGCTTTGTATGGATGTTACCCTACTGCAAAAGGCTTCATCACAACAGGATCACAGAAGACCAGGCTTGAAAATGGATCTTAACTTCAACGTCTATTTTCTGCTAACCTTAAGTGCCAAAATATACCACAGGGAGAAGAGACTCACTCAACAGGTACCAGTCCACACATTTAACTGCATTGTTCTCCAAGCAATAGCTAAAACTTCCATTCATACAACGAACAAAAGCCAGTCCTCAGGAATGAGCATAAAACTCCCACTGACTTAAGAGAAGTATCATGTGGATACAGAGAGTTCAGACGCCAAACAGTAACAAAATATCCCTAATAGTCTCCTATTAGGAGTGATGAGAAAGAAGGGAGGGGAAGAGCTGGCAAGGATGTTACACAAAAGTGATACAATTTGGGGTATTTTGGAACCAAAAAGCTGTGCAGCAAGGGTGATGTGTATTTGAGATGAAACCTGGACACTCAATTATATTTAAGAAAGCAATTGATAAGATACAGTCAGACAATTTCAAAATAGATTGCACAGCAGGAGGAAAGCTAGACAGTTTAAGATTTGTGCGTGATGTTACTGTACAATTATCTATAGAACCGATAGTCTGCAGTAATTCAAATGAATAAAACCACAGTGATCTATGCTGACCTCGTAAACACACACACTCCTGGCTGCTGAAGGCAGCACAGTACTAATTCAATATTCCAGCTTCTTCTGTTTTTAATGAAGTTCTTACTCAGGAAAAAGTGCACACTAGAATTCATATACAGCTATTCTGAACTCCTTCAAGACAAAGGAGTAAACATGCACTATAAATAATTTTAGGACTATAAAGCATGCAGGGTCTCATCTTTCACTATTTTTCTTTCCTTTGAATAATTAAATTTTGTTTTTCCCTGCCATGACGGCATGCAGTGTACACTGAGCCTTCTTCACTGCCAACGACAAAGTTGTTGACATCTCCAATAGGGAAGGACATGCATGTAACAGCCACAGCTTTGGACTGTTTGTGAACCAGCTCCATGCTATCCTGTAGTCAAAATATCAGCAACTTACTTGAAAAAAAAAAAACAAAAAACAAAAAACGAACA